ATGAGGCTTAGTCTTAAATAGAAGACAAGACATGTGCAGAGCTGAGCAGTCCCAGGTCTGGTGTGGCCCCGCCCCCAGTGAGCCATCCCTGTCTCTGTCCATTCTCTCCTGCAGGTTGATCTGAGGAGTTCTCAGGACTGTGTGAACTCTCTTTCTGGGAGGCCAGTTCTTCCTCTGGCTGTCTCCAGACTGCAGCCTTTTCCTTCTCCCAGCATGAGACTCCCTGGGTCACCCCAGTTCCCTGGAGTCCATTGCTTCAGTAGTCTTAGGGGCAAGGAGTGCAGCAGAGGCATCCTCAGAGCATCAAGCCTGTCAGGGAAGTTCCATGCTGACCTCCTTTGTCTCCTCCCAGCCCCCAGGACCACCTATTCAAGCCCCACCTCTGCAACTTCTGCACTCACCAGAACTGCACTCACAGCCACAGAAGGGAAGAAGAGCGGGAAGAGTCAGACCCTGGGTCTGGGAACCAGAGTTGGGTTGGCAGTGGCTGCTGCTGTACTCCTGGCTGGGGTTTTGGGGTTGACAGTGTTCCTCAGGTGGAGGAGAAGGAAAGGTAAGTGGTCCAAGACTGCACCCCCATGACACTTCCTGAGTTTTACACAGAACAGTCCACACCAGAGTCCTGGAAGGGGATTGATGAGAGCGCAGTTGTGAATCCTCAGGGCATGGCTGAGTCAGGAAAGTGCTGCCATGCAAGCTGGAGGTTCCATGACCACAATCCATGTAATCCCAGTGCTGAGGAGGTGGAGACAGATGATCCCTGAGGGTGGATGGCTGCTATACTGGCCTAACTGGTGAGCCTCGGGTCCCAGGGAGAGACCTGGTCTTAAAAAGAAGTAAGGTGGTCAGATTTAGAGGAGCAATAGCGAAGGGTGGATTCTTGCTTCCCCAGGGCAGATCCCTGACGGCCTCCTCCTGAGTCCAGAGTCAGGCTCTGGGCTTGAGCTTAGAGTACCTGGGGTCTGTTTGCTGCTGTGGTTTGTTTGGTGACTGCAGCCCTGCACTGCTAACCTCACTGGGATTCTACCTGAAGCCGCTTCCTCAAGTGAGGTTCTGCAGGGCTAAGTCTGTGAACCGCACAGTCCAGTCATGGCTCAGTGGAGAACAGACTGGAGGGGGCCAGGCTGTGTCACTTTGCCACAGTCGGGCTGCACATGGGGATGAATGGCCAGAACCAGGAAAATGTCCAGGAAAAAGCTTTCAGACTTTGTGATTAGCCTGGTGTGGTAGTGCATGTCTGTAACTCCAGTGTGTGGAAGGGGCAGGCAGGAGGATCAGTAGTTCAAAGTCATCCTTGGGTGTGGGAGACTTCAAACAAACACTCAGTGATTAGATGGATGACACGGGGACCAAGGAACAGGAACAAGTCTAAGTGTGTTGAAGAATACTTTGATGAAACCAACAAGCCCATTTAGGGCCTGAATAAGGAAGTCTGTTCAAATTGTGTAATGGTGGGTATTTTCCACTGTGGTGATAAAACATCATGATCAAAAGTAACTTGTGGAAGGAAGTTATTTGTGGAAGGATTTGGCTTGTGGTCCAGAAGGAAGGTTAATAGTGGAGGGCCAGCTGAAGCAGGACACTGAGAAGTCACATCTTCAACACATGCAGAAAACCAGGGAGAAAGCTGGAAGTGAGGTGGAGGCAATAAGTTCTCAAAACGCAACCCAAGTGACACACACCTCTTCTAGAAGGCTGCACCTCCTAAATAGTCCATAACCTCCATAATATGAACAAGATTTCCAATAGGTGAGCCTGTGGTGAAGATTTTTAACTCAAACCTGCACAGGGGTGAGCTGACCCGCTGATTTGGGTTACAGTTGAAGTGCGTATGTGGATCTAACAGAGCTGTCCAAGAAAACAAAGAACAACAAAGAAAGGTGTACTTATAAGTCAGAAGAGAAAACACAGAGAGATGGGTCAGGAGTTAAGAACACTTGCTGCTCTGGCAGAGAACCTGAGTTCTGCTCCAGCACCCACATCAGGCAGTTTACAACCGCCTGTAACTCTGGCTAAAGGCCTGTCTGAAGCCTTCTCCTGAATTCTACAGGCATCTACTCTCATGTGCACATAAACTTAAAATTCTAAAAACAAAACAATAGAAAAACTTTAAAATCTACAGTAGCTAAATAAATAAATGAATAATAGATTTTTCTAAAGAACACGGTAGCCCTCAGAGGGTAAAAGGTGTCAGTGTCCAGGCCTGGGAGCACAAGGTGGAGGTAACTGATGGCCACAAGTTGCCCTCTGACCTCCATACAAACTGTGCCACACCAACTACCATATAATCAATAAGTGGCAAAAAAAAAAAAAAAAAAAAAAACCAAAAAAAAAAAAACCCCTATGGTCATTAAAACAGCATAGTATGGACCAAGACAAATAGACCAGTAGAGTGAAATACAATCCAGAAAGAGACGGTCTCTAAAGGCAAAAAGGAAGGGTGATGAATGCAGAGTAGATGAGGCAGGTGTGGAGTGAGGGAACTCAAGGTTGGTGAAGGAAGCAGAGGAGACAGGGGTGGACATGGACCTAGCAGAGATCTGGGGAGGTTGCTGTGTAGAACACAGCCCAGCAGAGGGAGCTCAGGCTCCTCTCTGACTGCCTGGGGCAGGTTCTCTGCTCCCCTGTCCTCTGAAGGTGGTCTGAACACAGAGGACAGCTGAGAGGGATGGTGGAGGGTCAGCACTGATGTCACACTGACACTATTTCTTCCCCACAGGACAGAGGACTAAAGCCGAAACCCCAGCCAGGTGAGCGCCATCCGGGTCCTCTGCAAGAGCAGCCAGCGCTCTTAACCACTGAGCCATCTCTCCAGCCCCTTCAAATAACAATTAAAAAAACAAAAAAAAGGAGAAACACACCCCGGGGTCTTCACTAACCACTGACTCATTCTGTCTGCTCCCTCCTTGTCCTCTATGACCTCAGGCTCCTCACGCACCAGATTCACACTGACAAGGAGTTCAGGGTCTCAGGAGTCTCCTTCCCAGAACAACACCCCCTTTAGGCCTCATTCTTCCTCCCTCTCTCCATCCATTTCCTGGGCTGCCCTCTCTGTCTCTGTTTCCTCTCAGCCTTGAACACCCGCCTGGATTCAACAGCTCTCCCATCCTTCCCTTTCTTCTCTCTGTCTTTCTCTATGGTCAGTGAGCCCTGCTGCCCCAGAATCCTTTGTTCCAGATCTTCCACATCTCTTACCCTTTTCTCTTCACCTCCCAACCTCCCCACCCTTCTCTCTTGCCTCTTCTTTTCCTACTGTACATGGCCTGTTCTGAACCATCCTTCTCCAACCCCTTTGTTCAGAGAAAGGTTCTCCTTTAGCCCAGGCTGGCCTCAAACCCACTATGAAGCCAAGATGACATTGAACTTCTGATCTTTTACCTCCATCTCCCACCTGTTGGAAGGACAGGCATCGAACCACACCCGGTTTATGAGGTGCTGGGATGGAATCCAGGTCCTTGTGCAGATAACTCAAGCATCCACAGCCACACTGCATCCCAGCTTCCTCCTTCTCTACTCTCCCTGGGGCTTCTTTGGCCAGATGCCCTTCCTCCAGTCCCATCTCAGGTCCTTTCTTGCTTGAACCCAGTCTAAGCACCTACCCAGGAGATCTGAGACTTTCTTGTCTTCTAGTTTTCCAGGTAGTGAGAGAGAATAGACTTGGTTCTTCTTATTTCTAGTCTCTGTTCCTGTCCAGGGCAAGCCGATTCCTAGAATGACTCCCCTTCAGCTAGTGCTGAGAGACCTCGGCCAGGCCACCTTCCCAATGGCCTCTCATTCTCTTCCAGAGAATGTCTAATTCTGAGGATGGAACTCAGTCATGCTCATCTAGAGTCACTGAGGATGGCAGAGACCACTCAGAGGGGACCAGCTCCTGGTGTGTATGTGTATGTGTGTGTGTGTGTGTGTGTGTGTGTGTGTGTGTGTGTGTGTGTGTGAGTCTGTGTCTGTGTGTGTTTGTGTGACTGTGTTCTCTGGTGCCAATCACTCTTTTAAATAATTATTTTTATTACATTTTGTTTGTGTATATGTGCATACATGTGTATGTGTATGACTGGATATGGCACACATGTGGAGGTCACAGGACAACTTCTGAGAGCTTTCTCTTTCCTTCCAATTGTGAATCCTTGGGTATTTCTCAGGTTGTCAGTATTGATGGTCTGGCCTGACCACTAAGTCATTTCTCCAGATCCCACTTGGGCCTTGGGTTGTTGTTGTTGTTATTGTTTGGGTTTGTTTGGTTTGGTTTGGTTCAGACAGGGTCTGGCACTGATCTGGAACTCACAGTTGGACCAGGTTGGTTGGCCATTGAATACCAGGAGTCCTCTATCTCTACCTCCTGAGCACTGAGATTACAAGCATGCAACACCATGTGTGTGTCGTTACTGTTCCTGTGTGTGTGTGTGCATGTGCAGGTGCACATCCACGTGTGTTCATGTGTGTAGAAGCCAGAGATCAATGGAGTGTCTCTCAGTTACTCTCCATTCTGTTTTGTGTCCTGCATGTTTGTGTGTGTGTGTGTGTGTGTGTGTGTGTGTGTGTGTGAGTGTGTGTGTGTGTGTGCACCTGTGCATGTGTGTGGAATCCAGAGTCTATGTGGTGACTCCCCTCAGGCAGGGTCTCTCACTAACCTGAGTTCATCAGTTGGGCCAGGCTGCCCAGACAATGAGCTCCAGAGATCCTCCTCTCTCCATCCCCAGTCTCCAGGCACATCGTGTCCAGCTTTTTTCACATGGGTTCTTGGGGATCTAAATCTGTGTCTTCGTGTTTGTGAAGTGGGCACTTTGCCAGCTGAACCGTCTCTCCAGCCCTCCACTTTATCTTTTGAGACGGGGTCTGTCCCCGAATCTAGAGCTCTTCTGTTAGTCCGGGCCAGTGAACTCCAGGGATTTATCTACCTGTCTCTGCTTCTCCAGCATCCAGCGTTCTGTGGGTCCTGGGTCTGCAATCAGGACTTCCTGTTTATGTGACACTTACTTACCTAACTGATTCATCTCTGCAGCCCAGCACCTGATGTCTTAACCCTTTCCTGTCGAGATTCTGATATGTTGTCCATTTGTTCCTGTGCAGGGACATCATTGAAAACCCTGAGAATGTTGAACCTGAAGGTAAATTCTGTCAGCTTCCTGTTTCCCCACCTCGCTGCCGTCTTCTCCCAAGACCCCACACTTACATGAGCATCCCTCTGTATTTTCTCCCTTCCCTCCTTCACTCTGTTTCTCCCGTGTAACCAATGTCCTCACCTCACTGTTGGAATTCCCAGCCATCTGTCTCCCTTCCTGTGACAACTTGACTTCAGCACTCCATGTTCTTTTTTCTCTAGGACAATATATGAACCCCAAAGAGAACCCCAAGGTAAGCCACTCAGACTTAGGCCTGAGGGAAGTTAAAAGGATGTTGAAGAAGGAGGCAGAAGGGTGGAGGCTGCAGGTGTGGGCAGGACACTCAGGCTGCAGCTGCTGCAGGTGTGGCAGGACACTCAGGCTGC